CCCACCGCTCAGCGCACAGCCCGCAGCACTGCTCCGCCCGCTGCAGGACGGACGGCAAGTGGGCGCGGGGAGGCGGGCTGGGGGGATGCAGGACTAGGGTGGTGTGGCGGAGGTGGGCAGGCGGGCGCGGGTGGGGGTCGGTTGGGGTGAAGTGGGCCTGGGGCCGGGGGTGGGGGTTGTAGGGGGTCTCGGAGGCGAGGAGGGTGTAGGTCTGGGGTAGGAGGGCCAGGACAGAGAGGCTTCTTTGGAGGAGTTCACCAGCAGCCCCTCTGCCTTTTCCACCTGAGAGACGGTGGGCATCTGGAAACACCTCGGACCCGGACCTGTAGCCAGGTCTGGAGCTAGAGTTCCCTCCAGAGGCAGCTTGAATCTGCCCCAGGCTCTGGCCACCGCAGGACTTAGGGCAGGAGTCCTGGGTCCTGGTTTCAGTTGCACCTCAGCCCAGATACCCTGTCTGCAGTGTTCAGGACCGGAGTCTGCCACTTCTGCCCCAGGAAGGTCAAGGCCTGGCATTTGGGGAGGGAGACCAACTTGGGTCCCAACCTCACTCTGCCCTTTAGCAGAGCAGCCTTGGACGAGTCACTCAGCCTCTCAACTCCCATTTGGTATTCATCCAACCCTTGAAGCCACTGAGTCTGTCTCACTGCCCTTGGGGGTGGCTGGGACCTGGGACAGCAGCCGGGGATGCTGGTCCCTTCTGCAAGGAGCCCCAGCCTTGTGGTCAGGGCCTGCCAGCCTGGGAGCACAGCTATGCCCAGCTGGGGGGTGCACTGGCCCCTCCCACAGACACCCAGAGCTGGGAGCCCAGGTTGGGGACGGGTGCAGAAGGACACTCAGGCTCTGGGGTCTACGGTGGGCTAGAAGCCTGGACTGAGAGCAAGCTACGAACTGTTCTAGCTTCAGGCACCCCATCTGTGAGGCAGGGTAACCATTCAGGGGCTTTTCTCATGGACTCAGTGAGCTCATGGAGGTCCTGAGGCCCCAGGACACAGCAGGGCTCGGTAACCAAGGAACTGGCATGTTTACTTCTCAGAGCTGAGGCTGGCAGCCACCCTGCCTCCTGGGCTTGGCCCCGGTCGTCTGCTCTGCACCGGTAGTGGAGCGTGGAAGGTGTGCGGGACAGCAGTGTCCCCAGCTGGGGTCTGGTGCTGTTCAGACAGGATCACACTGAATCCTGTCAATAGCTCCAGAGAGCAGCGTGACCCCCTTTCAGACACGGCCGCAAAGCTGGGCAGTGGCTGGGCTTTCCGCACGGGCCATCCTGGCCCAGAGCCCCTGTCTCAGCCCTGCCCTGTGTCATCACAAACGACCATCAGTAGAGTGTCGTGTTGGCCCAGCAGTGTCCGCTTTTATCTAGACCTGCAGCCTGCTCACCTGGCCCTCCAAGCAGCCTCTTTCCAGAGAGACGAGCCCTCCCCACAAAGTCCTCCCGGCGCCCCCCAGCAGGCTAGAGGGCCCAGCCAGTGTGCCTGAAGTCACCCCCACACAAACACGGCCCCGAGTGAGCCCCTGGGTGGGCGGCAGAGGCCAGTCTGACCGGGCCCTCCACCCACTGCTCCCAGACCGTGAACTTGCAGGTGACAGGCCTGGACCTGGGCAGAATGAAGCTGGACAGCCCTCAGTGCCTCCTGGACCAGGAGGAGGCAGGGGAGGCCGGGGATAGGCAGCTGCTAGAGCCCGAGACGTGGCGGACCTATGCGGAGCACCGCGACGCTCTGCACAAGTTCCTGACCGTGGACCTGAGCCCCCAGCTGCTCAAGCGCCACCACGCCCATGTGGAGCTCCTCAGGAAGTGCTCCTACTACATCGAGATCCTCCCCAAGTACCTGGCGCTGGGCGACCAGAACCCGCGGGTGCCGCCCTCCACGTTCCAGTTCATCGAGCCCCAGAAGTTCCAGCGCATGAAGAAAGCAGGCGCGACCCAGGCCAAGATCCAGCTCCTGCTGCTGGAGGAGCTGCTGGAGCAGCTGGGCCGCGGCCGCTCTGAGCTGGACGCCCTGCTCGAGTCACCGGACCCTCGGCCCTTCCTGGAGGGCTGGGGGCTCGTGGAGCAGCGGCTGGCAGACCTGTCGGCCGTCTTGGACAGCTTCCTGGCCACGATGGTGCCAGGGCGCCTGCACATCAAACACCGCCTGGTGTCTGACATCAACACCACCAAGATCCCCAACATCCAGGTCATGCTGAGCACCAAGACGCCCGTCATATTCGACCGCAAGGAGTCGGTGGCCCACCATGACTGGGTCAGCCTGCGCTGGTTTGTCACCCTCCAGCCGGCCGTGCCAGAGCAGTTTGAGCTGCGCTACAAGCTGCTGGACCCAGAGACACAGCAGGAGTGCGTGCAGTATAGCATCATCCCCGTGGCCGCCTACGCCTTTGACGTCCAAAACCTGCTGCCCAACCGCTCCTACAAGTTCACTATCAAGAGGGTGGAGGGCTACACGCTGGTGTACGAGCCCTGGCTGGACAGCCTCACCCTGCAGACCAGGCCTAGGTCCCTTGAAGGGCCCGCCCCCCATAGTCTGGGCAAGCTAGGCCCAGCCCTGACCACACCTTCCTAGAAATGATTTTTTAATACTTATCCACTAATAAAGAGAAGTATAAACACACATAGACAATTGAAGAAACAAACCTACTTACTTATTAAAGCAGGTGGCAGCCGCATGAGTGCTTTTCCTGACTCAGCCCAGCCCACCACAAGTCCCTGGCCCCCCCAGCTCCTGCTTCCTTTTCTAGGGGGTGCCCCAGGCTGGCCTTTCCAGGACACTGACCCCTGGAGCAAGAAGCCTCAGCCCTGGCCCGTAGCTGCCACTGCCAATGAGGAGAGCTGCTCCAAGGCTCTGCCAGGGGGCAGCCCCAGCCCCTCCCACGTCCATCTCCCCCATCCCCATCACAACAACCAGCTGTGACACCTGGGCACAGGCTCTGGCCATCTTTCCTGCCTCTTACGCTGGGATTCCTCAAGGGAGGGCGATACCCCCAAGTCCTGCACGGACCCCAGTGGGGGCAGTCACTACCTGCAGTCACAGATAGGCCCAGTACTGTCAGACCAGCTTCATCGAGGCCAGGGCGCCCAAGGCCAAAAGGACATTTTATTATTTTTTTTAAATGAAAATAAAAGTACTATCTTCTCCCCAAAAGAAGCTGAAGAACCCCCATTGTGAGGTGGGTTAGGGTCCTAGCAAGGGAGCCTGGTAGGGTAACCGCCCCCCCAGATCCACACAAATGCATACCTTCTGTTTGGGGGGGGCCCTCCCTACAGCCCATCGCCCCTCCCCACCAGCTCCTGGTGTCCAGCCCCAGACGGGCGACCTACAGAGTCTGTCCTTGCCCGCCAGTGTGACCCCCAGCTCGGCCAGCAGCTCGCTCACTTCCTGAAGGCGATGCAGTCATTGGTGTCTACCTGCTCCAGCAGTTTGGCCCTTCAGGTCCAGGAGAGACAGCACTGTGTACCTTGGCTACGGCCGAGGAGGACCGTCCATGGGAAAAGGCCAGAGCCGCCCTCAGCACACTGCTAACCAGCTTTCCGTACGCACACCGTGATGGTCACTAGGACAGCAGGCACCTGAGAAGATAAGGTGTGGCCAGGGCAAGGGGTCAGGAACAGGGCCCCTCCCCCACTGAGAAGCGGTTTGGTGAGGTGGGGACCTTAACTGGGTCAGAAAGGCCCAGCACCACCCACCCCAGCTATGGCCAGTGTCCTCTGCAGGGTTGGTATGGTCTCAGCCTGCAGCTCCCCTCCCAGGCCTCTCCAGCCACCTGCGTGCTGCTGTATGCCACCCAGGGTGTCGAGCCACACTGTCATGCTATCTGTGGCATCGCATGGCTATGAGGGGCTCCCTCCCGGATGTCCTGCAGATGGAGTTGTCCCAAGGCTCCCAGGGGTCCTGGGCAGAGTCACTGTGCTTGCTCCAAGGAAATGTCCAGAGTAGCAGAGGGTGGGGCATGGCAGAGGGAAGTCTGGGGAGGGGAGACGGGCAGGACAGGCCAGGGGACCAGAGATGTGGGTTTGTGCTGGGTCACACTGACCCAGAGACCCGCACGCTGGGGTGAGGGCTCGCCAAGGGAGCTGCCCGTGGGTCCTGGGGCCTGGCACACCGTCCTAGGGACTTCGGGGTCGGCGCTTCCCTCCCGTGGCCCCGCCTCGCGACCTCCCCGGGTAAGGCGGTGCTACCGCAGGTACCCGGCTGCGGATGGCTCTGAAGCGCCCTCCCGGTGTGGCCATGGAGGCTGGGGCACAGGTCCGCGTCCGCCCCGCCCCATCGTGCCCGCGGCTTTGTGCCTCGCTGGCCTCTCTCTCATCTGGACTCGTTCGCTGCCTGGCACACACGGCCGCAGGCTTCAAATCGCGCCCAAGACTTAAAAGCTTGGCCCTCACTGCGATGAGGCCCCGCCCTCCGCCCTCGGCCCCCACCTCGCAGCTGTCTGACTGCGGTCCAGCTGGGGCTTCAACACCTCTTCCTCCCGGAAGCCCTCCCTGACTCCAGGTTGGTGAGGACCTGGCTCCCTGCCTCGGGGCATCTGCTCCTCCTCTGCTCTAGCGCTTTTTTTTGAGACCCTAGAATTCCCCACGCCTTTGTGGCTGCCATAGAAGAGAAGTGCCCTTTGGAGCAGGGCTCAGCGGGCTGTCGCCACTGCACAGAGGCCATGGGGAAGTGGAATTGCACTGAGAGCAGTTTCCAAGGTCAGAGCTGCCTCGGGAAGGGCTAGGGTCGGGGGCAGAGGTTTCCACAGAAGGCAGGACAAAAATGCACCCTGAGGGGCAGGTGAAGGTTCTCAATCCTGCAAAGAAATGCACACCCGGTCAGGTTGTCCCAAAGGCCCTGACCTGGGAGCAGGCCTGAGGGTGTGAGGGGGCTGCAGAAATCTGGGTGGAGCACATGACAGCCACCTGGGGCACCTCCATCACAGCCCTGAACCCCCGCAGGGGTCTTGTCATCTGGTTCCCCTTGCAGGGCGCCAGCCACTGAAGGACACAGGGCTGTGGGTCTGAGTCAGATGGGGCAGTGGTGGCAGAGAAAAGGCCGCCTTTTCCAGGGAGGCCTTCTTGAGTGTGGGCTGAGGACCCTGTTCCAGTAAAAGACACTGGCTTTTGGTGTATTTTTTTAAAAATGAGACTTCCCTGGTGGCGCAGTGGTTAAGAATCCACCTGCCAATGCAGGCGACACGGGTTCGATCCCTGGTCCGGGAAGATCCCACATGCCGCAGAGCAGCTAAGCCCGTGCGCCACAGCTACTGAGGCTGCGCTCTAGAGCCCACGAGCCGCAGCTATCGAGCCTGCGTGCCACAACTACTGAAGCCCGCATGCCTAGAGCCCGTGCTCCACAACAAGAGAAGCCACCGCAACGAGAAGCCCACGCACCGCAATGAAGAGTAGCCCGCCCCGCCTCGCGACCTCCCCGGGTAAGGCGGTGCTACCGCAGGTACCCGGCTGCGGATGGCTCTGAAGCGCCCTCCCGGTGTGGCCATGGAGGCTGGGGCACAGGTCCGCGTCCGCCCCGCCCCATCGTGCCCGCGGCTTTGTGCCTCGCTGGCCTCTCTCTCATCTGGACTCGTTCGCTGCCTGGCACACACGGCCGCAGGCTTCAAATCGCGCCCAAGACTTAAAAGCTTGGCCCTCACTGCGATGAGGCCCCGCCCTCCGCCCTCGGCCCCCACCTCGCAGCTGTCTGACTGCGGTCCAGCTGGGGCTTCAACACCTCTTCCTCCCGGAAGCCCTCCCTGACTCCAGGTTGGTGAGGACCTGGCTCCCTGCCTCGGGGCATCTGCTCCTCCTCTGCTCTAGCGCTTTTTTTTGAGACCCTAGAATTCCCCACGCCTTTGTGGCTGCCATAGAAGAGAAGTGCCCTTTGGAGCAGGGCTCAGCGGGCTGTCGCCACTGCACAGAGGCCATGGGGAAGTGGAATTGCACTGAGAGCAGTTTCCAAGGTCAGAGCTGCCTCGGGAAGGGCTAGGGTCGGGGGCAGAGGTTTCCACAGAAGGCAGGACAAAAATGCACCCTGAGGGGCAGGTGAAGGTTCTCAATCCTGCAAAGAAATGCACACCCGGTCAGGTTGTCCCAAAGGCCCTGACCTGGGAGCAGGCCTGAGGGTGTGAGGGGGCTGCAGAAATCTGGGTGGAGCACATGACAGCCACCTGGGGCACCTCCATCACAGCCCTGAACCCCCGCAGGGGTCTTGTCATCTGGTTCCCCTTGCAGGGCGCCAGCCACTGAAGGACACAGGGCTGTGGGTCTGAGTCAGATGGGGCAGTGGTGGCAGAGAAAAGGCCGCCTTTTCCAGGGAGGCCTTCTTGAGTGTGGGCTGAGGACCCTGTTCCAGTAAAAGACACTGGCTTTTGGTGTATTTTTTTAAAAATGAGACTTCCCTGGTGGCGCAGTGGTTAAGAATCCACCTGCCAATGCAGGCGACACGGGTTCGATCCCTGGTCCGGGAAGATCCCACATGCCGCAGAGCAGCTAAGCCCGTGCGCCACAGCTACTGAGGCTGCGCTCTAGAGCCCACGAGCCGCAGCTATCGAGCCTGCGTGCCACAACTACTGAAGCCCGCATGCCTAGAGCCCGTGCTCCACAACAAGAGAAGCCACCGCAACGAGAAGCCCACGCACCGCAATGAAGAGTAGCCCCTGCTCGCCACAACCTGAAAAAGCCTGAGCACCGCAATGAAGACCCAACGCAGCCAAAAATAAACAAATAAGTAAATTAAAAAAAAAAAAAAAAAAATGAAGTGAGCCCCACAGACAGCACCCTGTGTGGTCAGGGATGGCCAGAGACCCAGGAGCAGCCCTGACATGACTCCCTTCCTGACCCCAAACCTTCCCAGGGACACCAGGTCTCGTGCTGGTCCAGGACCCCCCTACCCCCGAGATGCTCCCTGTCACCAAATGTCCCAGCACTGCAGATCAGCAGGGAGGGTGGGATCACAGACCCTACCTCCTTTCTCCCAAGTTTGCGCACCAGGTGCGGCCTGGCCTGCTCCTAGCCCTGGAGAAGCCAAGACAAGGAGGTGGTGACTGTGTTTGGCCGCGCTGGCTCCGTGATCCCTGCTCAGTCAGGCGGGTGCAGGCGGCCGGTGATGAGCACTGTAGGCACGTGGGATCCTGCCGAGAGGGGCCCCCCCAGGCAGCGGCAGCACAGGGTTCTCCCTCATTGTCCTGGCAGCCTGAGGGTGGTGGTGGGCAGATGGGGTCTCCAGGAAGACACAACGGCCCCTCGGGACCGGCAGAAGGCAGGCGGCACCAGGCTGCGCTGGGCCTCACAGGTGTCCAGGTGTCCGCTCCAGAGCGGGCAGCAGCAGTGTGGGAGGAGCTGGTCTCCTGCCAGTGGGGGGAGGGTCCGTGGAGGCCCCCACCGAGTGCCCCTCGCCCCTGGGTCGGAAGAGGCTCCCCACTTCAGCCCATGTTCCAGCTCTGGAATTCGGAGACTCTGCTCCCAGGTGGTGGCCTCGGGCAGCACCTTCAGGACGCCGCCCAGCGGGTAGAATCACTGCCGCCACAGGCCTACGCGCGCTCAGAAGAGCCAGCAGCGCCGGGCCTCCGCCGAGAGCTGCTCCTACCCCACGTGCTGCACACGGCCCTGCAGGAGGCGGTAGACGGGCACCCGCAGCGGGTCCTTCAGGCCAGGCACAAAGGTCCTGGTCACAGACATCGCTGGGGGTCACGACGCGGGGTCCCACTCGTCCACGCAGCACACAAAGGCCAGCTGGTGGCAGCCCCTCCGGAGCACGCTCACCACGTGGACCAGTGGCACTGTGAAATCCTCACTGAGGACCTTCACCTGCACCTCGTCCCCCGCGAAGGCCATCCCGTGGTGCAGGCGGCCCTTGACCTGGATGGGGCCGTGGTGCTCATCGCCCGGTGGGATGGCGGTCCCCCGCTCGAAGGTGTCCTGCTGCACCGCGTGCGGTGCCTGCGGAGCAGGTTCTGCAGCGTGGCCCGTGGCAGGTTCACATACTGCTGCGTCGGCCAGGGGGACAAGGGCCTGGCGAAGGTGTCCAGCAGCCCGTCCTCCCAGACGGCCACGGTCACACTCCGGGTCCCATCCAGGAGCTCCTGCAGGGTGGAGCTGTCGGCGCAGGGCTCCCCCTCGGAAGGCCAGAAGTCCTCAGGATCCTCGGGCTCCCCCACCTCCATCCGCACCACGGCTGCAGGCCACCCCGCCCCCTCCTCTGGGATAGGGTCTCCGGCCCCCGCTGCCACAGAGCTCTCTGCTCGTTGGCCCAGCGCTGCCTCTGGACCAGGCTCTGCTCCATCTGCCCCAGAGACAGGCCCCCAGGGCGGACGCTGCGATGCTCTACGCACGCACCGAGGAAGCTCGTCCAGAGCTGGCTGCAGGCCCCGAGGGAGCAGAGGGCCATGGCGTCACCCACGGCCACCACCTGGGACTGGGCATGGATCATGACGCTGTTGAGCATGTGAGCGTCCGTGAAGAACTCCAGGGCAGGTGCCCCCAGGCTCAGCAGAGGCTCCGGTGGGTGTGTACCATGGTCGGCACCACCACCCAGAAGGGTGGGTGCCCTGGGTGAGGGATGGGCGGGGGAGGGGGCCCACCTCCCCAGCACCAGCACCCACCTGGCAGGATCTCCAAGCTGCACACAGAGACCTGGCCCAGGTTCCTCTTCCTCAGCTCCTGCCTCAGCGTGCTAACCTGGGCGCACACGGCCAGGCCAGCAGACCCGGGTGAGCTCTCAATGTGCAGTGAGGGGCCCCAAAAGGACAGCGGCCCCGACAAAAATGGGACCCTGGCCCCCACGCCCTGGGATGTGAATCCCTCAGCCCCTTGTACAGAAGGGGAAACTGAGACCGAGGAGGCCCAGCCTGGGGGCACACAGGTCCACCAGGCCACGGGGCGGGGAGGCGGTGCCCTGTCCTCTGCCAAGCTTTCCCGCTGGGAGTGGGGGAGGGAGGCTCTCCCGGGCAGCTGGGGCTACCTGGGCACTGCCTACCTGAGCACCGTGGGACACAGCGCAATGGCCCTCTGCTCCTGGGGGCCCCAGCAGTGGAGCCAGGTGTCACAGACCTCCTGCACCTTCTCAACGACCTGCACGACCTCGGCCGTGCTCAGCCAAGTTGTCGTAGACATGTCGTGCTCCGGGCTGCCCGCCACGTGGCAGAAGGTGAGAGGTTAGTGCTGGGGGTGGTGTAGGACCTTGCCACTGGCGTGGATGGGGCTGCCCCCGGCCACGTAGACATGGCGGGAGACAAAGCTGACGATGACGTCGGTGCAGCGGTAGTTCCCGTGCAAAGTGACGTGGCCCCTCTCGGCAGCCGTGTGCGCCTCCTCCCGGCAGTGCTGGGCCAGGCGGAGCAGCAGCGTGGGCCCCCGCCGCGCGGGAGAGCCTGGGCGCCCCGCCGCGGGGCCCCCGCCGTGCGGGAGAGCCTGGGCGCGACCTGCATGGGGTCCCCCACCAGGACCAGGCAGATGCCGGGCGTGGCGCAGCGTAGCGGGGTGAGCGTCTCCCACTCCAGCATCTGGGTGGCCCCGTCGATGAGGATGTCGGAGAAGACGCTGGCGGGCACCCTGAGCTTGAGGGCCTGGGACGCGGTGGCGACCACGATGCGGTGTCGCTCCAGCTCAGCCCACGTCGGCACGCGGAAGGCCCGGCAGTCCTTGGTCAGGCAACGGTAGCGCAGCGTGGCCGCGTCTGTCTGGCTCAGTGGACAGCCCGTGTCCATCACCCAGAGTGGAGTGGCCTTGGGGTGACGGCTGCTGACACGGCTGTGGAAATGCTAGGCAATATAGATGTCTGCTGCCATGCGGGGGGCAGGGAGAAGAAAGGCATGAGAGCCTCAGCAGCTGTCTGCTAAAGCACCTACTGTGCGTCCAGCCCTGAATTCAAACGGACACCAGAATTCAAGCGAGGCAGTCAGACCCCTCCCTGCACTGGCCCCCACGGGGCTCAGATGTCAGCAGCGAGGACAGACCCAGAGAAACAGGAAGGTCGGAGCCTGAGGAGAACTGGGCAATAGCAGGACATCGGGGTGGTGGGGGAGGACGTGAGGGAGGAAGAGAAGGGCACAGTGGGGGCCAGGCAGCTGGGGAGGCTAACCCTGAGCCACGGGGGGGCAGCAGCCAGGGCCTCGCCCCCCAGCCCCTCAGGCTCCCAGGACCCGCACACCCGGAGGACATGCCGGAGCCCTGCCCCACTCGGGCCCCTGGGCCCCCAGGCCTGCTGGGACTCAGCCCCGGGCAGAGACGGGGAGACTCTAAGCCTGAGCAGCTGCCAGGGTTGGAGAACCGAGATGGTTTTGGCCAAATGGAACTTCACAGTAGAGTGAAGAATCTATTTCTTCAAAAACCACCCAAGTCTCTCCCCAGGGAATGCTGGGTGGGCCAAGCGACACCCCTGCCCACCACCCTGCCTGGCCCAGGGCCTCTGTGGAGGCTCCCACGGCCCAAATGGAGACCGGGCAACGGGGCTGAAGCGCAGATGTCCCCTGTCCTCAGGCCACAGCACTGACAACTGTCGTGGGGGCCCCGAGGATGAGTGACTGGGACAGGCCCCAGGGGCTGTGCTGCCCGCGTGGCCCAGCCCCCATCCGCTGATGTGCTGGAACTAGCCGCCCAGGCCTCCAGTGACCCCAGGAACAAGCCAGAGCCCCGGACCCCAGGTGCCCCTCTTGTCTTGGGGTGAGGCCATCACAGCCGCGTGTGCCCGGCCCGGCAAGCAGGTGGTGGGCGTGCCTGAGTGGCTCTGGCTCACCTGTTGGTGCGCGTACAGATGAGCACCTTGGTGTGGGGCTGGCGGGCGACCTCCAGGGAGGCCGTGGCCAGTGTGTAGGTCCTGCCCGTGCCAAAGGGGCCGCAGAGCAGTAGCGGGGCGATGGGCTGCGTGCCCCCTGGGCTGGTCCCCGTGATGGCCGCCACTGGCAGCTTCTACCTGCTGTTGCCTGGCAGGGCGGGTAGAAGGGGCAGAGGGCAGGGCACAGGGCAACGGCCCGGTGCCAGTGGGGGAGGCCAGCGCGTCCATCTGGGACTACACTTCTAAGATCCGCCTGGTCTCGGGCTGCAGCCCCAGGGATGCGCAGTAGTGGGTGGGCGGCAGCAGCCACAGCGTCTGCTCCGAGCTGGCCCGGGTCTCCACGGGCGCCTCAAGCACCCTGAGGTCAGGTGGAGGCATGGGGGCCACGAGGGCTGTGCTGACCGCTCAGCCCAGCAGAAAGCCCTTGTCCGCGTCTGGCACCAGGGAGAGGATGGGCACCTGCGTGTACAGCGCTCCTGGTGGCGGGAAGAGGATATGCCCAGGGCTGGCGTCTCCAGCGCCGTCTTCAGGGATACCGGCCTGAAGGCTCAGCCTGGTGGGGAGGTCACGGGTGAGCTGACCAGAGCCGCGGCCTGGCCGGCCCCTCCACGACCCCACCTGCTCGCCTGCCCCACCCACTTGGCCACCAGTTGCTCAGAGCCGCCTCCTCCTCGTGGAGACACTGGTGCAGCCTCTGCCGATAGCTGGCGGCGGAGATGGGCCCAGGTCAAGGCCGCCAGGACAGAGCTCGAGGCCCAGAGCAGGCACCTTGTACTTGGCCATCAGGGCTGCCTGCTTGGCCGTCCTCTCCACGTGGCAGTTGCCAACGTGCCAGCCCCTCTGGAAGGCCAGGAGTCCCCCAGAGCCCCCAGGAGTGCACCTGGCCCAGCTGCAGCTCCAGCTTCCTCAGCAGCACTGCCCAGTGGCAGAAGTGGAAGACCACCCATTGCTGGACGGTGCCGAAGCAAGAGCTCTGCACACACACCCCAACCCGGAACTGGGCTGGGGAGCCGGGCGTGCAGAAGCAATTCCCCAGCATGAAGACCTGGCCCGGAGAGGGGCTGGGGGCCACCACTGAGAAGTCTGCTCTCGGCGCCTGCTTGAGCAGGGCCACGTGTAGCAGGGGTGCCCGGGGGAGAAGACGATGGTGAGGTGACCCCTGGACCCTGTCCCAGCCATCAGGGTCCAGGTTGGTGCACAGACCACTCCCTCCCCTCCTGCTTCCGGGCTGTGACACCAGCAGGGTCCTTGGCCTCTTTGAACCTCTGAACCTCGGGGCTCCCTCTGCAAAATGGGGTCACTGAGCCCCTGTGGACGCTGAGCGAGGTGATGGTGCTGTGTGGGGCCCTCAGGGTGACCAGCCTGACCCCTCCTTCTCTGCACCAGACACCCCCCAGAATCACCCCGTGGGGCAGCCTAATCACAGCCTCAGGAGAGGCTACTGCAGTGCCCAGACCCCAGCTGACCCACCCCCGGCTGTGCTGACCCCTCACCTCAGAGTGGATAGTGAAGGTCCAGGCGTGCTAAGTTTGCTTCTCCTGGGCCTGATGCGCCAGGGGCTGGTTGCAGTGCATAGATACGCCTTCAGCGGTCTCAGCCAGCTGCACAGGGAAGCCTGGCCCCAGCCCTGCCCACAGCCACTCTCTCGGCCTCCACTTACCACAAGGACCTCACTGCGGCTCTGCTGGTATTCGGCCAGCGGCCGGGCCTGGTAAGGCACCAGCCCCTCCCGCCAGGCTGTGTGCTCCCGCAGCGCCACGGTCCCGGTGCGCTGGGTCCACTCCTGCAGCTCCTGTTCTGAATGCGCCTTGGCACACACGTCCCCGAACTCACAGAGGTTGGGCCTGGGAGGCGGGGGAGGGGGGCAAGAATAAATTCCGCAAGACGGCGCCTGGCACAGGCGGCTTCCCTAGACCTCCCTTCCCCACCCCTCAGAGGCTGGGGAGGTGCTGGCCACACAGAGGGGACAGGGAACCCTGGTTCAAGCTGAAAGTGGGCGCATCCCGCCGTCCCATCCTCACCTCGGGCAGAGCTCCAGCGTGGAAAGCCCAGCAGGCAGGCTGCGGCGCTTCCAGGGCACTGTCATGTCTAAGGCCAGCATCTGTGTATGCTCCAGGGAGGAGCAGCAGTTTTTGAAGGCCTCCCTGGAGCCGCAGGTGGCCTGGCAGGCGGGGCAGCACAGCTGGACTCCGAGGGGCTGGCCGTGGGGGTCTGTGTGCCCGTCCCCAGTGAGGGCGTGCGGCGTGAGCGGCTCCTTGTGATGGAGACTCAGCTCTTCAGCCTCCCACACGGCCATCTCCACGGCGCGGTGGTCGCCCCCGCATCAGGACGCCCCCTGCCCGCACAGCCACCCTTGCTCCACAGACTTGCGGAAGGTCAGCGGCTGGCCGTGCGGGAGACGTGGGCACACCTCCACACCTTGCGGCTTCCAGCGGCGCTGGTGCTCACGAGGGAAAGGAGAGAGGGGCAGGCTCCGTGCCTGGGGCAGCAGCCCCGGGAGCCCACGGGGCTGAGGCGTGGCAGACAGCGCTGGAAGCGGGGAGAGCAGAGCTGGAGGAAGCGGCCCCCAACTCCGCGCGGATGGCCTCGGCCAGGCGCGCAGCTCACCCCGGGCCCCGCTGCCCCGCACCCGGGTCTTCAGCCCCAGACGGCTGCCGCAGTGCTCACGGTCAGAGGTCCAGACCGGCGCCTCCTCGGGGCTCCTGGCAAAGGGGCGCTGGTTGTGGTGGCGCCAGCAGCCGAGCCCCGGCTGCAGGAGCGGCAGACCTGGCCGCGTGGGCCGCGGGATCGTGGGTGGGCGGTCTGCCTCACGCCGCACCCTGCTCCTGGCAGATGGCTTCAGGTGGGCCAGCGGGATCTCTTGCGGCAGCTGTGCTCCTGCCGCTCAGGAGGTCAGTCTTTTCCATCAAACCACTGGGTGCAGCGGAAGCAGCCCAGACACAGGTCCACCTGGGCACGCAGGCCGGCCAGAGATAGCTCCTCGGCGGCTTTGCGACCCTGGCAGTGCCATCTCTGATGCTGGCCTGGCTCTGTGGGGCGGTATCTGAGGCTCAGCTGGTCCTCTGCGCTGTTCACCTGCGATGAGAAATCTGGGACAAGAGGACCGAGGGGCCATGCACACCGGGCAGGGGCTCAGACACACTCTGCCTCCCCCACGGGCAAGGGAACTGATGGCGACACAAAGATGATGTTTTAAAAGGAAATGGAGCGTCAGCCCTGAGTCAGAGAACCCACTGCTCCAAAGTGAAAACTTGAGTCCACCTCCAGCAGGGGACCAGCGGTGCGACCCCAGCCCGGGTTGATGGCCATAAACAGGGGTGGCTGGAGGCAGTTCAGGACCAGAGTCCAGAGATCGCTGACTCTCCCCTGAGCGATTGTGCCCCTGGGTGACTCAAACGTCTGAGTGTGGAAATTACCTCATGCCCCCCACTCCACCGCCCCCTACCCCGATCCCAGGGCCGCCCCCAGACCACAGCGGTCTCTCCGCCCCTGGGGTCGCCCCGCAATCCCTCCGCTGGTCCACGGTGGGAGAGCCCCTGGGTCTCTGTGCAGAATTCCAGTCAGGCCCCACGGGGGTCACAGGAGGGCAGGGAGAGTGTGACCCTGGGCAGTTCGCTAAAAGGGCTGCAGGTCTGTGGGGAGAGAAACCCAGAAAAACAGAGCATGTGGAAAGGTGCTCCCAGCAGATGGTGGGCGGCCCCCGCCCAGGAAGGGGCCCTTTCCTCAACGGCACCAGCCAGCCTGGGTGGGAGGGGAGACTCTGAGGTTATATCTACCCCCCTAAAATCCACCAAAGATGTCTGGCCTGTGCCAGGCATCACCCACCATTACTTGCCGTGATCTCATCCAGCCTCACCTCCTAGATTGTAGAGCTGCCTGGACAAGGGGAGGGCCGGCCGTGCAACCAGCAGATACGGGGACGTGTCAGGGACCCCGTGCTCCTCCTGGCTCTCCTGGGAGACGCCGGAGTCAGACGCATCTCCCAGCTCCACCACAGAGACCCCCAGACTGTGCCGCCAGTTAACCACTCCCACCGTGCGGTAATAGGCAGTGAGACGAAGTGGTTATGACTGTTTTAAGCCACCACCTTTTGGGGTGCTGTCTTGCACAGCAACAGATGACTGATATACCAACACCCACCCTCCCACAGAAAGCCCATCCACGTCCACCCATGTGGGCGTCCTGTGGGGAGGGGCGGCAATGGAAGATTCCCATTAAGTCAGGAAGTTGGCTGAGTGCCATGAATTGTCATGTCAGGAGCCTCAACGTATACAAAACATCCAGCTACAGGAAAACATTCCAAAAATAACAGCAGAAACAGAAGACCTGTGGATGAGCCTAACAGTAAATATGCAAGAGAACTGAAAAGTTCCCGAGAGCCACAATAGAACACCTCTGACAACGGGATGGATGAAGCGATGCAACATGACTGCTGACGTCAATCCTTCCTAAATGGATCTAAGAGTTTAATGCAATTCCAGTAAAAATGCTAAGACGAATTAGAGGGCAGATAAGCTGATTTTATTTTATTTTTTAATCTTTTTAGCATTTATTTATTTATTTGGCTGCTCTGGGTCTTAGTTGCGGCATGTGGACTCTTAGTTGCAGCATGCATGCGGGATCCAGTTCCCCGACCAGGGATCAAACCCGGGCCCCCTGCACTGGGAGCGTGGAGTCTTAGCCACAGGACCACCAGGGAAGCCCCTGACAAGCTGATTTTAAAGTTCATTTGGAAACAGCACAACATAAACAAGCAAGAAGAGGCAGGAAAATTATTACAAAGACGAGAACCAGGAAATTGAAGGAGAGAGAACACTCCTGAATTCAGCATTATCCTGATACCAAAGCCAGATGAGGAAAGGAGAGAGAACACCCCGAATTCAGCACTGTCCTGATACCAAAGCCAGATGAGGAAAGGAGAGAGAACACCCCGAATTCAGCACTGTCCTGATACCAAAGCCAGATGAGGAAAGGAGAGAGAACACCCCGAATTCAGCACTGTCCTGATACCAAAGCCAGATGAGGAAAGGAGAGAGAACACCCCGAATTCAGCATTGTCCTGATACCAAAGCCAGATGAGGAAAGGAGAGAGAACACCCCCGAATTCAGCATTGTCCTGATACCAAAGCCAGATGAGGAAAGGAGAGAGAACACTCCTGAATTCAGCATTGTCCTGATACCAAAGCCAGATGAGGACACTACAGGAAAAGACAATTACAGACCAATAATACCCCTGATGAATATAGATGCAAAAATTCTCAACAAAGTATTAGCAAACTGAATTCAACAGCACATTTAAAACGCTGGGCTTATAGAAGGGCTATACCACAGCATAACAAAGGCTGCCATGTGACAAACCCACACTTAATTCGATGGTGAAAAGTGAAAAGCCTTTCCTTTTAAGATCAGGAACAAAAGAGGGATGCCCACACTCGCCGTTTCTTTTATTTATTTATTTATTTATTTACTTTTGGCTGAGTTGGGTCTTTGTTGCTGCGCACAGGCTTTCTCTAGTTGTGGTGAGCAGGGGCTACTCCTCGTTGCGGTGCGCGGGCTTCTCATTGCGGTGGCTTCTCTTATTGCAGAGCACGGGCTCTAGGCACGTGGGCTTCGGTAGTTGCAGCACACATGCTCAGTAGTTGTGGCTCGCGGGCTCTAGAGCTTGTGCACACGCCTCTCATTGCAGTGGCTTCTCTTGTTGTGGAGCATGGGCTCTAGGTGCGCGGGCTTCAGGAGTTGTGGCACGTGGGCTCAGTAGTTGTGGCCTGCGGGCTCTAGAGCTTAGGCTCAGTAGTTGTGGCGCACGGGCTTAATTGCTCCGCGGCATGTGGGATCTTCCCGGACCAGGGCTCGAACCCGTGTCCCCTGCGTTGGCAGGCGGATTCTTAACCGCTGCGCCACCAGGGAAGCCCACACTCACCGTTTCTATTCAACAGAGTACTGGGGGGCCAAGTCCTCGGACTCTTCAGCCCCTTCCCCTCCTCGCCAAGCAGGCTGTCACACACGGCATCCTGGATCCCTCCTCCCTCCCTACACCCATCAGCAAGTTGATCCAGAGCCAGATGCCGCGTCCAAGTCTACAATTCTAAGCAGCCTCCCAGCTGGGTCCCTTATCCACATCCCTCTCTGCTAGGAACACAGCCGTCCTTTCAAAACTCTGCTCAGGAATAAATGCAGAGGTCTAGGAAAGGACAGTGTATGCAGCCATCATAGTGGTAAGTGAAGCAGGACGTCCATGTAGTCTCAAATTATCTCCCCAAGCTACCTACTAATTACAAAGGGAAAGCCATCAGTGTCCCCAGAGACAGGACCCCAGAGACAGGACAGCCTGACTTCATGAGCCCCAGGCATGACGCACCGCGGGGGACACAGCCTCAAAAATGCAGACCTCGGGCTTCCCTTGTGGCGCAGTGGTTGGGAGTCCGCCTGCCGATGCAGGGGACACGGGTTCGTGCCCCGGTCCGGGAAGATCCCACATGCCGCGGAGCAGCTGGGCCCGTGAGCCATGGCCGCTGAGCCTGCGCGTCCGGAGCCTGTGCTACGCAACGGGAGAGGCCACAACAGTGAGAGGCCCAAGTACCGCGGAAAGAAAAAGAAAAAAATGCAGACCTCAACCGATCACGAGGAAGCATCCCACAGACCCTGCAAACGCCTCTCAGGATGTCAGTCCAGGTCGTGAATGACAAAGACTGAGGAGTCGGCCCAGAGTGGAGACACAACGAGGAGGTACAGAGCTGACTTCACCTCAGGCTCTAGAGGGGATGTCGGTCAGGAAGACACGTATCCCCATCTGCGAAATTATTCGACAGTTACCAGCTGAGTGTGGGCTGGGCGAAGGTATAATCCCTGCAACAATGCCGAACTCCCTGGTTTAATAAGGAAGTGTGCGGGCTCAAGGGCATGGCACCTGCAACTTACTCTCTAACGGCTCAGAAATAAAAGTTCATGCATGTGACAAACCACATGGGACAAAATGGAAGCAACTGGTGAATCTAGATAGAGCATATAGCTCTTTGCACACTTTTTGCAACTTCCGTGTACCTTTGTTTGAAATTACATTAAATTAAAAGGTAAACAAAGCATCTGCTAACACCCTGGTAAAGCCGGACTTGCGCACCCACCCAGCATATTTCCAAGTGGGTAAAGCTCTTCCCCAGCCGCCCTCGCCGCAGCCTGAAACCCCTGGAAAAGCCCCCGATAGCCTCCCCAGCACCACCGCGCGTGGGGAGGCCCAGCCTGGAGCCCAGGCCTGTTTACCTGTGACAGGGGGGTCTGGTCCTCAGCTGGTGGTCCCAG